GATAACTTCTAAATTGGTCGGGAAGCCAACAATGGGCCAACGGTGCCTACACTACACTAACATTAACAGCCATAAACAAATTTTACTCTCAATTGTACAGTTCATATGATTTGTTTTGCTAACAACAGCTGCAATATTATGTGAGCAAGGTGCACACTTTTAATACAAATTTAGAGCAAAAAAACTCCCATTTTTGACTGTCAGTGCAATTCTACATTCCATTTACTTTCTGCCACTTGCTACATACTCAACACAAAGGGCAAATATGGGGAGTAGTCAGAATAGCAGCACGGCTCTTTTCCATCCATTCTGTCTTGGCAGTTCCTCCACAGAAGAAAGAAATTAGTTAAGGTACCCGTTGAGAGAGGCCTCAAAACACAGAATAAGTGTTTATACTCCAGGTGAATGTAGAGGCCAAGTTATTTTGTAAGGTTAAGAAAACATGACCATTGGAAAGAGCAACCGCAAGAGAAGCTGTGAAATAATTTCCTGTCAAGGGCATAAAACGTCTCTCAATTGAGGTAAACATTTCTACTTTCAAAAGCAATTTATTTCCTAACAACCGCTGAAGGAGACAACATATCTCATGTTGCATTTCCCTGGAATTTTCATTGTGTTGTTTCTCTTCCCTCCAAACCCTCATTTTCACAAGTTGCTGTTTACCACCAGCTTTGTCTTGGAGCCAAGATCTCAGATCTGCCAGCGCGAAAGAGAAGCGGTTTAAGGTCAATGTAATATTGTTCTTGTTAAATGGGAACAGATCTCCTAGGAATTGTAGTGTTTTGATAGTTTGTTCATTGTTTTATTCATCGATTAAAGCAGCGGTGTCATCATCTGATTGTTATTGCTATATTACTCAGGTTTAGCTATTTAGAGGTTTAGAGGTCACAATCATTATTTTCATAGTGTTCACCATTTAATGAGCATAATAAAGAGAAAGTGTAAGATTCTACAGTTTTAAGTACAACTGATGCATGGATATTATGTAATGAATCAGTCATGTGCATCATCATTGCTGGCTGTTTGATTAAAATCCTAACATCCTATATATATATATATATATATATATATATATCCTATGTATAGGATTGGGGGTCTCCCGGGGGTCTCAATTGCCTGGTCTCCAAGCCTTCTACAATGTGGAATTGGTGGTCCTGGCTGTACTTCAGTCGAGTCAGACTTATCTCATCACTTATCAATTTGGTTGAACATCCACCTCTCAGGTTGGTCCTGCCATACTCCTTCTACACCACGGCTTAAAAAAAACCCACTTTAACACATTAGACTTCCCATTTCAGCCAGATAATTACACAATTATCCGGCTTCACTCCAAAAAAAATACATCCAGGGGTAATTGGTGCGGAAGGGAGGTGGGAAGCTACCCAGATTCCACTGCTCTTCCTGAGAGAGGGTCTAGGGAACGAATGCAGAAAAAGGAGGGAATGAAGAAACGGGGGAGAAAGAAAACCTAAACACCTATTTGATTTTAATCTCGCCACTTTGCGTGCATTTAAGGAGCCTTCATCGGTTTACCGGCGTAGACTCCTGTCAATAAGCTGTTATCAATGTTGAAAATGAAAATTTGAAATGTCAGGGTGGGTTCTGCGTTGAAGAGCCGTAACAGGTGCTTAGCTCCTGGTGAACCGGAATAATGTCCCCATTATTGGTTGCTCATAGAGCTGTTACAAGTCGCTTTGTCGTGGTTCTGGGAAGACCATTCTCCTGGAAGAGCAGGCGTAGCTCAATTATTTGGCCAGAAACACAAAACGTCCGCTTTCATTGCACCCTCGCATCAGTGCTGTCTATCAAGTATGAAATAACCTTGATAAAAGTAATTGAATTTCTTTCTGAAAGGATTAACGAGTGGTAATTGCACGAAACAGAGGTGCTGAGCAGAGATATTCTTACTTACAGCCGGGAACAATCGGCCAGGCTTTCTCATCTCTAGACACGCTGCATCTTTTCAGAAATCGCTGGGAAAACAAGTGTGTGTGTGTCTGTGTGTGTGGGGGGTGAATCTGTCTGAAAATAAGATTTCCACTCAAATGCCAGCGGATGGCCTGATTACCATGCGTGCGCGTGCACCCGTGCGGTCCTCTAAATGTGCTGAGATGTGCTCTTTAAACAAGATTCAACACTTTTAAACCCCAGCAGACTTAATTAAGGGTGGTACCTTGCGCGCAAAGGGGGAGGGGAAAGAGACAACGATGCATGAGGAAGGGAAGAAGGAATTTCACGCGGGGTGTGTTTTTGTAACGCTTTCTCACCGTTTCCCGCAATAAACAGCCTAAAGCTTCCCTTTTTAGCTCAGCGCGCTCACACCCACGTTCGTACATGCACATGCTCAGACAAAACCTTGACTTAAAGTCCCCATTACTTCTCCAAAACTGTCTGAAATATCAAACAATGCGCTGCCGGTGGGGGGTGCGCGGTGTGGAGTTAAATCGGCCCAGACTCATTTCCATACAGCTTTACATGTTTCAAAAAGATACATAATTACAGGGTTTGTACATAATTGCTCCAACACATTGGAAAAAGCCAGGTTTGTTCTTTTTTTAAATGCTGGCGCTGCGGCTCAGAGACTTCGCTTCTCTTCCGTTATGTGGCTCGAACAATTAAAACAATACGGACGTCTTGGAAAGGAGCTCAGCTCTCATTATCGCCTTCTCTTCTCCTGCGTCAGAACATTTACGGCTTAAAAGAAGGCCCTGGCACCTTGGCATTGAAAGACACTCTTTTTTTGGGCTCTTTTCCCTTCCCTTTTGCGTTTCTGGAACAGTGCGGCGTATGTGTGTGGGGTGGGAAAAAAAGAAAATGTAAATAAGATGGATTTTGCGACAGCTCTGTTCTGTTCCAAGAGACGAACGTCTGCATCTGAAGAAATCAAAAAAGGCTTTTCTTAAAGAGTTTCACCCATCTTATTCTGACTCTTTGAACAGATGCACACATTGTTTGACTTGATACCAGCTCGACTCTAGAGGACAAAAAAATCGGAATGTGATTCAGACTTGAACTTTTAACATGAAGGCAAATTGAGACTCGCTTTTATCGTTCTTTAGCACGCTAAGAAACTGGGAATAGTACCACCACGACTCATAATGATATGTTTGGAGAACTTCGCATTACATTTACGCATGGGAATTCCTAGGACCAGCGAAAATCATATTTTTTTTAAGAGGAAATCTTGAGATTTTTAATGTGTGATTTTGAAGGAATAATTCACCCAAAGATTACATTTCTGTCATTGTTTACCTCGTTTCAAACCTGTGGAATTTTTCAGTTGAATTTTTGAATCATCTTTGTGCAGCTCTTTTCTTTAGAATGAAAAAACAAACTGACTCTTAAGTTATAAAAAAAAATGAAAAAAAAGTATGTATGAAAAAGTATGTTGAAAGACAACACAATGGCTACATTAAAATAATTTATTTAAAAAAAAAAAAAACTTACATTTTGAGAATAAAGCTGTAATTTTGAAATTGGACTTTTACTATAATAGACTTCAATATTAAAGTAGTCATACTTTGAGAATAAAAGTCAAAATTACAAGAATAAAGTCATATTAAAGTAGTAATAATAATGAATAAATCAAAAATTGAGAATGTCATACCTTGAAGTCATAACTTTTACAATACTTTTATGACAAAGTTAAACATTAAAGTGATAGTTCACCCACAATAAAAACACACCCCCCAAAAAAATTGTGATCATTTACTCACCCTCATGCCGTACCAAAGTTAAAACTGTATGAGTTTCTTTCTTCAGCTGAATACAGACTATATTTAGAAAATTGTAGCTATTGACTTTCACAGTATATATATATATATATATATATATTTTTTTTTTTTCATACTGTACAAAACATACAGGTATAGGCTCCTACAATATTACTTTACTTTATTAATCAACCCATTTTAATGTAACTATTAACTACATAAATATACTGTTACATCCTTTACTTTAAGACATTGTGCACCAATAATTACATTTAGTCATTGCTTAAATGTAAGATGCTAAATAAGCTAAAGTTAAAGCACCTATTTATTACGCATAATTCATAGAAGTGCTTAAATGCAGTTGAATGTACTTTACTGCTTATATTTTTTTTTTTTTCATACTGTACCAAACATACAGGTTTGGAGCGACGTGAGGGTGAGTAAATGTTGACAAAATGTTCATTTTTGAGTGAACTTCAAGATCTTCAAGCCCCTTTAAGATCAAATTAATGTAGTAATACTTTGAGAAATTATGATATTAATGTCTAAGCATAATGACATTAAAATAGCAATAGTTTGAAAATAGTCAACATTTTGAAAAAAAGTTGTAGTAAATAATAAAATAAGAAATAAAATAGTTAATTATTAAAATAGAAAAAATATATAGTTAATGAAAAAAAAATATTTTAGAAATATAATTACGAGAATAAAGTCATAGCATATTTTGGAAAAAATATAAATAAAATAACAAGAATAAAGTCATAGCTTTATAAGATTAAAGTCTATGTGTGTCTAAATATGTAAGGGATAATGTAGCAACATCCAGCCGGTTGTTATTGCAGAATAACCCCCGACAGGGTGACAGCGAATAATGACAATATCAGCCTATTCCTCAAACAAAGCTATCATATGGCTTATAATAAAAGAGCTGCATGAAGATTCTTTTATATATGCACTTCATGTACCACAGAGGAAAGAGAGTGATACAGGTTGGTTCAGAACGACAAGGTGGTGAAAAAATAATTACAGATTTTCCATTCAGTGAATCATTCCTTTAAATCCTTAAAGTTGTCAAAAAATATATAAGGCAGAGTACTGGAGAGCGGATACTCTAACTTAATGTCTTGTTTGAAAAAGACACCCTCACTGAAAATGAGTCCCATCAAAGTTCTCCCATGGCCTTAAAACAAGATCTAGGTCCAATTACGGTACTTTAGAGTGAGGAAATTATGGAAAAATTGGACTAACACTGATATCAGTTATATGGCTATTTTAATGAATTCTGCCATGTTGAGGGTACAATAATTGTATTCAGAACTATCATAGCCAACACTAAATTAGTCAGTTTTGCTGATTTAAATGTTATGGTCAAAGTCTTTGGGGTCTAAATTGGTCTCAGAGGATCTTTCACAGACAATGATTGCGCTTGGCTTTTGTCATGTATCAATACAGTGATGAGATTTCTTCAGCCCGGCACAATGCACACCACTCTTGGGATGGGCCGGCTGAAAGAAAAAATATATCCTTTACCAGATAAAATTACTTTTTCCTCCTGAAAGTCAGAAAAATGATCGGAACAATGCACTATTCATGGCATCGGACAGCAGGAGGTGTGAAAAACAAGGTAGAATAAGGTTCCCTTTTATATCCTTTTTCTCATCCCCATACACCCCGCTGCTGACCAGTGCAAAAAAAAAATTTCCAGGTATCCTAATGTTTAAAAAAAATAACACTATTATTGGCCGCTATTGAATCCAATTGCAAGCAATGCAGGTTGTAACAGATAAGGACCTGATGGAATCTGTCTTTGCACTATCTGAGCCAAAGTGGTCTCCGTATGAGTCAAATGGAACGGCGACGCATTGACAATTCAAATTGGACAGCAGCTTTGCAGTCAATTCACCCTGCAATCTACATGGATCCCCCCGCCGGCAGGCCCGGACGAGATTGCATTTTATACACAAAGGCCTTCACTTTGGAAGACCCTTCATATTCACTCACAATTGTATAAAGTCCCCTGGTTTGCAAGTGTGCTAAAGAATTCACTTCAAAGTTTCTTACAAATGACAACGAAATGGAAATTAGCTTAATTATTAAAGGAACTCCGAAATTTAAAATCTGTCATTATTTACTCACCTGCATAGCATTTCAAACTCGTCTGGTGTTATTTAATCTGTGGAACACAAAAGAAAACATTTTGATGAATTTTCAGTCAGCTATTTTTCAATGACAGTTCATACTGGAAAAAAAAAACATAAAAAAGGTCTATACAAGATATGTGTGTGTGTGTGTATGTATAAACTAATAAAATTGACAAAAGCACATAACAAAATCACTGAAATTTTAAAATGAAAATGAAAACTGAAAATATAAAAACAAAAGCTAATTCAAAATAATAAATAAATACTACATAAATAATACTGAAATAGCACTGGACCAAATGTCTTTGAGGTCATGGTGTCTGTTCAGGGTGGTACATAATTCAAAATGTTTGTATAACTACCGGTTGACTATCGGTAGTTGAAGGTCAACCAAACAGCCCAATTCAGGCATTTTGGGGCTGTCTATTACCTTTATTTACTGAGCTGTTTTGTTAGCTCTGTATAGCCTAAAAAGTAGCTTAAGGTATAAGATGGACACTGGGAAAAGAAAGAGTGAATTGAACAATACGCTATGTACCAGGCATGCCCTTAACATATGCAATTTGTTTTTCTGCACTTGCTGAAGGGATAACGCCAATCTCTGACCCCACTGCAAACTTAAGCAGGCCCCCCGATGCCCGGCCTTCATGAATCTTTTAGGCAGAGGGAGTCTGGAGTTCAAAGTTTCTGTGAACTCAAGAAATAATAAGCTGCCTGATTAGCGTTGCTAAAAATACCAGCATGGCCAAAAGGAGCCAGGTGGTAGGACGGGCCTCCTGCATATTTGCATGTTCAGAGGCCGATCTGATACACAGAGACACGCACAGGGACTTGGAATTTATTCATAAGGAAAGTTATTTCAGAGCAGTGTTATTTTAGTATCATTGACATTTTCATTTTTGTTAAAGTTTTAATTGTTGTGTTTTTGTCATTTTTATTTTTGTCTATATGTATAGAGTTTTTAAAAATATTTTTTAATATTTTATTCCAGTTTTAGTTTGTTATTTTAGTACATCAAATTAAACTAAATGAAAATGAGAAATGCTGTATATATATATATATATATATATATTATTTCAGTTAGTTTATAAGTAACTTTAAGTTTTAGTTAACTATAATAACCCTGTTTCAGTGTTGAGCAATTTATGTTTTGATGAAACATATATCTTTGAATTGTCCATAATAATGCCTGAAACACATAATAAATTAATAATAAAAAAAAAAATTTAGATTTCAAGTTGTTGACTTAAAGAGTTATATTTTTGGAGTTTATTTTCCTGTGTTGATGATGTATTTCCATTTGAATAGATAATCTGTTTTTTTTTTGTTTTTTTTATATCCACGTAACTGCCATGATTTACTACTTACTAGTCAGTTGTATGCGGCGTAAGGGGGCGGGACATTCTCCTTCAAGAGAGCATCTGATTGGACAAAAATCTGTGTAGCGCAAGATGTCATCACTGCTACATTTTCCTGAAAGAGAAAAACATTTTAAATTTTATATCCAGTAAACGTGAATTTAGTCAACGTTTAGGAGTAGACCAGCACATAGATGACCTCAAAGCTACCGAAAACACCTCTCATTTTGATATCATGTTGGCTTTAAATTGGTCTTTTACAACATGGCAATGCTGTTTGTGGTCAGGGTAACAAGAAGAGGACAGATTCTTCATTTGTTCATATCGAAAAGACTTTAGTGGTAGAAAATCTGGAATTGCTATGATGAAAGTCATTTGTTTTCCTGCTCCAGAGATCTGCCACTTGCGCAGACGGCATCAGCCGAGATATTGCGTTAAACTCTCTGTGCCATACACGTTTTCTCCTCTCCTTATCCTTCTCTCTCTCCTCCTGTTTTATATTTAACTTCAACCTGTCAATTAAAGAGTGAGAGTGCAAAGAGGAAATAAGAGAGACAGGGAGAGAGAGACAGCAAGAAGCACAGAACTAATTAGGCAACTGTGTAATTTGAATTAGCTGTTTTGATAATTAAACTAATTAGTTCCCCTGTGTTTCCGCTACGTGCTACTGACAGTTTTTTTCTTTTTACAACACAGTTTCAGAGCTCCACTCCGTCAGTTAATTAGTCACTTTTGCACCAGAAATCTTTATTGATAGCCTTAATTTGCAGTTGAAATGAGAAATCTGCAGTCAATAATTCGGATAATTGCCCGCCGTTTGATTGTGGAGAACAAAAGTGGCAGGCCTTTGAGTTTGAAGCTGTTGGAAATCCCTCGGGTCATTTCCTGGATGCTTAGCTCTCCGTCCAATCTACATATCAGCAAATAACACCGCCGTCCACAACATCTCGACCCTGCTAACAAGACAGGAATCCTGCCAAATGAGGAACGCTTTGACCCGCCCCACCTACATTTCCCATCATGCTCTCCTCTTCTCGTCTGCCTCAGCCCTCCTCCCACCCAGTGTCCTACGTTCGCGGTAATTGAGGAAGGAGGGTGGGGGGAGAGAGACAGAAAGTTGCAGCTTTGGTTTGTAGCTAATTAGTGTCCTTGGAATTAAATGAGCAGCTCTTTGTGCACCTCCAGCTCCTGCGGCCCATGTTTGTGAATTGAATAATTGATTCCCCTCCACTAATCAGAGAGCGACATAATGAGCCAGTTTAATTAAATGGGGATCTAACCTGGCGAACACTGGGAAAATATTTGCTCGTTTACAGCTAATCAGGAATAACAGAGCGAGATGGTTCGGGGGGTGGGGGCTGGAAACCAAAAAGAATGTGTCTGATTGTGCGCTTCGAAGAGGGGAATCTTTAAGCGGTGCACGTTGCTGAAGGAATATATGAGAAAATGCAATGCTAGGTTTGACGTGTCTCAACGTTGGGGCCTAAAGTGAGAAAAACTCAGCTCTTTGACTTCTCTTCTGGTATTTTTGGTGGGCCCTGGGCCATAGGATGATGGTAGCAGATTGACCTTTCCTTATCAGAGGCGAAACACGCTGACATGCCCCTCATGGGCAGCACCCCAGGATGAGGTCGAGATAGCCGAGGTACCCCTGAGCATTTACCTCTGTGCCTCTTCTCACCTCCTTGATGTGCCACTAGAGGCACCACTTACCCTCAAAGGCTTGTGGATCCTACAGACCTTTAAGTTCACTAAGATAAAATAATGGTGGCTCAAAGGTGTCTATGGCCAGCCACCAACTGGGTGATGGAGATGGATACAATTTGTAAAAAAAAAAAAAAAAGTTGAGTTTAAGAGTCTGGGTTTTAGCCTGGCACAGTCTGAAGGATTAAAAAGTGTGTTGCAGGATGTTACACTTTACAATAGGGTTCAATTAGCTAAAATTAGTAAATGAAAATTCATTTTTGAAAATGTTTTAAAATTAATTCTTGAAAATATTTTTTTAAGCATTTATCGATTTAGGTTACATTATACATACAATATTGTTCATTCATGTTTGCTTGTTTTTATTTTTAAATATTATTATTTTTAATTAACACTTGCTGTAAAAGTATTCTTTATTGTTAGTTCACGATACCTAATGCACTAATGTTAACAAATTGAAACTTATTGTAAATATGGTCAAATTGGCAATGGTAAAAAATGGCCACGGAAGTGTTTTGTAAGCCTGAGGAAGGAACAGTAGACTGACTAAAATGTTGCCAAGATTTTTGTGATGATGCAACTTGACTAGTGTGAGGGATTTATATTTTTCTAGTTTATACTGTTAAATGGTAGAAGAATCCAAAAAAGAATCCAAAGAAGAATCCAAAATAAACAACAAAATAAAATTATTTTATAATAAAATAATTATTTAAAAAATGAAATATTTAGTAAATTGTTATTTTATTGCTACATTTTATTGCCTGCCATCTGCTGAATTTGTAGTTTCCAAATACAACGTGCCCTAAACTTCCCGACAACCTCACATGTTGTTCATTTGGAGTTTGGCTGGATTTGTGTTGATATTAGTTTACTAAAACACATCAGCACTATAAGAGGGCCGCCGTGGGACAGAAGTGGATCACTGAAAGAATACACACTCATCTTGCCCCAGCCTCCTCGCCCTCCTCAACCCCCCAATGAAAAATGAAATACTGCATTGAAATTCCACACCAGAGGAAGGATAGAGAGAAGCTAAAGCTTTGAAGCTCCAGCCTATCAGTCTTTTTTGTGTTTTTGTGTGTGTGTATGAAAGAGAGCGAGCGAGCGGATGAGTAAGAGAGTTCCATGTTCTAGTGCTTTCTCTCCTTCTCTTTCTTTTTCTCTATCCCATTCCTCTGTCTCTCTCTGTCCCTTTCTACCTCTCCCACCACTCGATTCCACAGGCATCAGCACTATAAGAGGGCCGCCGTGGGACAGAAGTGGATCACTGAAAGAATACACACTCATCTTGCCCCAGCCTCCTCGCCCTCCTCAACCCCCCAATGAAAAATGAAATACTGCATTGAAATTCCACACCAGAGGAAGGATAGAGAGAAGCTAAAGCTTTGAAGCTCCAGCCTATCAGTCTTTTTTGTGTTTTTGTGTGTGTGTATGAAAGAGAGAGAGCGAGAGGATGAGTGAGAGAGTTCCACGTTCTAGTGCTCTCTCTCCTTCTCTTTCTTTTTCTCCATTCCATTCCTCTGTCTCTCTCTGTCCCTCTCTACCTCTCCCACCACTCGATTCCACAGGCCCCTTTTCTTTTCCACCTCTGTCATTCCCAAGAGCCTGCACAAATCAGAAACACAGATTTGAAAAAAGTTGGGTTTGTGGACTTTAGAAAGGAGAAGGAAAACATCCCTTTGCTTTTGAACTTGCCAAGCAGCAAAACCACACCTTGGCCATATCTCGGTTGTGTCTGATGAAGAGAACAACAAAGGGTGGAAGAAGAATTAAGAAAGAAAAGGTAAACAAACAACATACAACACTGGTCAACGTAGACAACCTGCTTTCCTTTAAACGCTATATGAAACACCTGAAGTTTACAACATCACTCCCTAGGGAAGAATTGCATTTCTTCTTGTTTTCACTTTATTTTATCCTTTTTAAACTTGTTCCCTAAATCCAGGATTGTCATTTATTCGATCCAGAATAAGCTAATGTTATTTATTTTAATTATTAGCTATCAATTATCATCATTTACTCACCCGCATGTCATTCCAAACCCCTATGTCTTTCTGCACAGTATTTCTATTATAAAACACAGAGTCATTTTGATTCATTGTACTTGTTGCTCTCTTCCACATCAGGGGGAACTCCTCTTAAAATATGTAAGCGAGCATAATTTTGGCATTTAAAAACATTAATACTGTGTGAGAAATATATTAAGGTTGATATTATCAAGAAAATATGTCTCTAGAATTAAATAGTAGGTTTTTAAATATTTTATAATTTTTGTATTTTACATTCAAAATAAAAAAGCCGACGCCAAAGCCATAGCTAGTTGGTAAACTTTTATCTGGAAAATATTTACTTTATATTATGTATTTTATTAATACTTCAAGCCAACACAATGTTGACAGCCCTAGATAAAATATATTTTTGAAAAAGCTGACTTTTCTGTGGACCTCACATGACTGGTTCATGGTCCATACGACTTGTTCACTATATTCCCAGTCGACAGACAATAATTTAGTGTGAAAAGGATTAATTTGGTCATAGAATAAACTAAAAATAGTCCAACAGTATGTGTACAGAAAGTAATTAAGCACATAGAATTGACAACCATATTCACATGCAACCTGAACCTGGCTGATGATGACCTTCAAATGCTTTGAGAAATATCATCTCTCATTCTAACGTTACCACAGGGGATATATCTCGAAGTTCTGGTCCACGTGAGAGCCAAATCCACCATCTATCCTCCATCTTTACTAGAGAGAGGCGTGTGTACGAGATGAGACACTGTGGTTGAATATCAGACAGACAGAGGAGGATAACGAGCCTCATCCTTGCCGTTCATTAGCGCCGAGAACTCCCTAGCCTCGAGGGACGGGATAATTCCCACGGTAACCATTGCACATTCTTAACAAGCAACTATGCTGAACTTGCTCTGAGTGAGTGCTGCAGCTAGTCCACCTGATTTGGTGGGTCCAGCCCACAAGTGTGTGCTTGGTTACATGAGAATGATTAGCAGGGTCTTATGGGACACTTTGATCCCCCGCTGACACCCCTTGCTCATGTTTGCAAACAAACACAGAGCCTCTTTACAGAAAGCAAGGTATTTAGCAGCCATTGAGAGTTAGTTGTGTAACACTTTTAATATGGTGTCTGACTAGCATTAGCAGTTCCAATTCATCCCAAAGGGTTCAAGTCTGGGTTTTATGTAGTTCAGGGCAAGTTCTTTCACTCAAGACTCCATTTCAATTTCTTTAGGACCTGAATGTTTGTCTAGGGAGTTGTATGCTTGATTTTATGCACCTTTTAGCAATTAGCAAGAGGTGTCCATGTAGTTTTGGTCATGTAGTGCAGCTAATTTCTTCGCTGTCACCTTATTGTGCGATTTTGTGCTTTTGAAAGAAAACACTATGATTA